CCTTCCAGTCCACCTGTCCCTTGGAAGGGCTCGTGTCGAGGTCGTAGAATTCGTCCGACAGTTCCAACCACTGCTTGTCCTGATGTTCTTGAAACAAAAGTTGACCAGTGGAATCGACGGTCGGGTCGGCGGGTTGAAAGTTGGGATTTGCAGACCTCACTATGTCGAGTACCGAAATCCTCGCTAGTTCCAGGTTCTCGACCTTGGACTGGCGTGGGTATGGCTCCCACAACCCTTGGTCGTTGATGAGCGCCATGATCCACTCGCCCTTCTGGATTGCCGGCTGGATAGTTCCCGGGTGCCATATCATGTCATGGCCCCAGTCCGCCTCGCTCGATCGAGTGTGATCGAGCCCTTCGAAGTGAACGGTATCATCCTTGCGAGAAGGATGGTGCAGCAGAATCGAACTCCCGGGACGCAACGGAGGCGGGGCGGCAGGCCGAGGCGTCAGTCTCGCCGCCAGCTTACTCGGTATCTTACCCGGGATGAATGTGAGCACAGGCGACGCCTGGTGGCCTGGCTTGTTGAGGGACCGACCGACGAGGAGCCTGGGGCATGAAACACCAGAGGAGGATGGTAATCGATGTCGATGTCCTCGCTGTCGCTGTCCTCCTTCGGCGTGGCGGTGTCGAAAACAACACCTGTCTCCGCCTCGCTGTCCGTGGAGATCAACGCACCATAACTCTTGAGCTCAAGCACCTGCTCGAACTCGACGAAGTACAAACACTCCAGCCTGTCGAGGAAGTTATTTACGTTCTTGCGTGAGGCGTCATGGTAGTTGTCCAGCAATGCCAACATGTGTTCCTTGTGGCGCATGTACTCAGCGTCATTGTCCCTCCTGGGCCGCGTTTCCAAAAAGAGGAACTCGTAGATCCTGTTCCTCTTCCGCTCGCTCAACTTGAACCACATGTCCGTAGACGGTTCTTGAACGTGTGTTGATTTCTCGCTCCTCGAAATGAACTCGCGGCGGCTGGCTCCAGAGTTGACCTCGCTTTTGAGGAACTCCAACATTATTGCAACAACTCAGAATTCCCTTCCAGCGCGACCACGTGTCGGCCGCTCTTCAAAACCTCCCACACAACTCGGCTTGCCGAGGAACATGACGCCCTCCCCTTTTTTGCACACAAATTCCAGTAGATGGTCCAATTGTATGGGGTTCCACTCCATGTCCTTGTAGACCTTCCTGTCAACTCCAGGCATGGCCGACGGCCACTCGCAAGGGTCGAATGGAGTCTCCGATATGTTTGTCGGGGTCACTTTCTGGTGTACCCCGAGAGCCGCAGCGTCACCTGCCGACAACCTAGCATCGTAGACGACACAAGTATTCTCCCGCAAATCGTCACCTTTGAAGAGAATGTACATGCGGTTGTCAGCGGAGTACAAGTTGTTCCCCACTGGAAAATTTTTCTTCTGCTGCGTCCTCCTGACCCACTTCCCTGCCATTGCCTTCACAACGGGCAGATGGCGCAGGCTGATCATGAAGGAGTCGTCCCACTGTCGAGGGATGAAAGCGACGACCGTCCATTGTGACGGAAACAGTTGCTCTAGGAGGGATCAAACTCTCGAAAGCTTTCAGCGTCCAATGTTTGAAGTTCACCGACTCGCACAGATCGAGAACGTACGTGTGGCATTTGGTGGTCCCAACCGCTTTCTCCAACTCCGTGACCCTCATCTGTGCCTCCAGAGGGTCAACGCCGAACGGGGCGATCGATGTCACGTCCCCTGAGTCTTTCCACAGAACGTGCACCACGCCTTTGGCAAGCGCGACCTCCATGCTCTTCGCCTTACTGCCGGTCAGCACGAGGAGGACCTTGTTCTTCCGGTCGGCGGACAACTTCTTGTTGAGGGCGAGTTTTTCCGTCGCCTTGATCGTTTTATCGTCCTCGTACCCCATGTACGGTGGGCAGTCCTTGAACAACGAGGCGTCACCAACGAGCTTTCTGCTCCCGTCCCACAACGTGGCATCCATTCCCTGCTTCTCGAACTCCACCAAAATCGCCTCCCGCTTCTTCAGGAAGGGATACGCACATGTCCAGTCCGTATCCACCTGGTTCTCGTACACAAACTGATAGTAGTTCCACAATCGCACCAAGATGCGATTGCACTTCAGCAGGTGCACTGCTTCCTACACTGCCAGCTTGCCTTGCTTCGCCAATGAAGCGGAGCCTGTTTGCACCCACACAACCTCGCAGTTGAGGACCTCCTTGAGCAACCGGCATTTCTCGTTGTCGGTAAGGGCTTCCATGCTCTTCCAACAGTGCGGATCCGGCTCGGTGACCTGGACAAACCAATTGCCAGACTCTTTCTCCTTTTTTCCTTTCTTTTGGGACGCCTCGACGGGGACGTTGTAGACGACCTCCTTTCGCCCCAACTTCTCGTTTTCGATGTGGCTAACGCCGGGCCTGACATCCTTCACTTTCCTTTTTTTTGTGATCCACTTCACCCCCTCGGGTGCCAGAAGTCTCCCCGTCTCCCATTTCTCGAAAAATTCCATACCCAGCTCTCATGCGCTTTTTCCAGCCATCACCAGTGGAAAATAAGAGTGAAGGGCAACGTTCTGCTTCTTAATATTGTCCTCGCCCTTCTCATCAACGAGAATCCACAAGTGGTGGTAAGGCGTTTTGTGAAGCGCCTGCTCACAGAACTCACGTCATTTCTGCACCTGAGCTTGTTTTCCGTTGGGGTTCCCTATAACAGTCTTCATGAAAACCTTTTCCTTCCACAACCACCGAATGTCTTTCATTGAGAGTTTCATCTGTCTAGGAGGCACCTTCAAGTCCTTCTTGTTGTCCTCCGAGCTGACCAGAAAATACCCTTCGAACTCCTCGTCCGAGAAGTAAACCATATGTGTAGGCCACCTCTCGAAGTTGTACCTCAATGCGACGTCCGTGCCAAGTAGCACCTTGGTTGCAGCCGCGTTGTGCTGGCCGGAAATAGCGTAATAATAGTTTTGGCCTGCGAGGTCGTCCTTCCAGTCCGTTGGCTTGAGACGATCCGCCCGCATGCCCGACTTCAGTTTCTCCAGCCCTAGTGGTGCCAACTTAAGGGTAGGCAACTCGTACGTCTTCTCAGCTTGCGAGAAGCTCATCATCATCGCGTCAATGATGAGTTGCGTGTGCACGGGATCCAGTGACCATTGGTTGTACGATGCTTCCCAGTCACCGATCTCGACGACCCACGATGGGCTAGTGAAGAACTCCCGCTTTGTCGAGGAAGTACGCGGTGTCGATGTCGATAAACCCTTCGCCTCGAGAGTACCCGGCTGAGGCTGTTTCTGCACCGACCTCGGGCGTTTTCGACCCGATGTGCCCTCCTGCCCCTCAACTCCCTTCCTTTTTCCCCCCATCGTCTGGGGGGTTCTTGCCTTATGTTTCTTTGCAGAACCCTCACCCTCTTCCTGAGGACCTCCCCTTCTCTTATGCGCAGGCTGCAGTACACCCTCCTCTTCCCCCTTGGCTGATGTCGACGGCCGGTCGTGAACCGGAGTGTGTCCTTCCACCCCAAGAATATTCAGGACAGACCGCTCTCCCAGCCTAGGCGGGAAAGGCCGCGTCTGCTCCTGTTCTTCGTTGTCGCTGTCGTCAAAGCGACCACGGACCGCGCTCCGATGGAGTTGGGAAGAAGGACTGAAACCCAAATCTCCCCCTTTCGTGGGAGCACCGCTGGATTCGAAACCGGTGCACATCTGAAGAGGCTGCAACAACTCTTGGTCGCCCTGAACGTGGCAGGGTTCCTCCAGGTCGATGTTCCTCTGCTCCACCAAGTCAAAAAACTCTTGTGCCGAAACAAGACCTCCCACTGCGAGATCTTGGTAGAAAGGGGTCTTCACAGCCCCCGCCCCAAACCCCTGGAACAGGTCGAAAGACAAAACCGCCCCTTTGGAAACAACGTCGCCCTTCGAACTGTAAACATTGTGCAGCTTATAGTGTTGCGTGTTTTCCTTTTTAGCAGGGTGCCATCCGGCCACCGCCCCAAGAACTCTACGCCTTTTTTTATCTTCAAGGAATATAACAGGACCGCACGGAAGTTTGGTCGGTTGGGACTCATCCCCGCAGCACCAATCGATGAACCATTTGGTATGCACATGATAGGACCACGATTTGGAGGTCCTTGATTCCCTCCCTGAGGTACCGGTCGGCTGCTCCTTGCCCCTTGACGTCGACATTGTGTCTACACCTGTCCGAGATACCAAAACAACCCAACATACGGAAGACATAAATTACCCACCCCAGTACAGAGGTCCATTTTCCACAGACCCACATGCCACGCACCACCATAGCACATTAACGGTATCGACACCCAAATTACATAGAAAAGAGGCATCTATACGAAGTTCGGATCTCGACGAACTAAACGAATTTGCAAGCAATTGGCGAGATCTGATAACGACATGCGATGATAAAGAGAGTCACTAACAGTGAGACAGTTTGTTGACTGCTGGACTCTGCTGTTCACAAGCCCCAATCCAACAAGAAGGCAGACCGAACGTGTACCAACAGCGCACGAACGTGTACCAACAGCGCACAAACATGACAATGGACCACAAGAACTAGCGACAAGTTCGTTGGCATCTGCACTTCTTCACGTCGTGCTCAGGCTTGTGCGAAATCTGGAGACGGGCAAACTAGACGAAATTGTCGGCAGTTCTTCACATCGTGTTCACGCACACCTAGTCCGCCGGTATCCGCACTTGTTCAGATCCGTCTTCAGCCTTCATGCGACGTTCAGATGCCGACAAACTTGATGAATTCGCCGGGCAACATCATAGATGGATAACGGCGTGAGACCGCCAGACTCCGCCTCTCAGACCCCCAGCCCCCAGCACAAGGCCCACCACACTTGCCCCAGTTGTGTTTCAGCATCGCGAACGACTGGCAAAACAACTGTCAACCTATGGGAACTGGAGGGGAATTTTGTTTCTGGAGTGCGAAACTCTGCTCAAAACATATCCAGATCCAACAAGAAGGCCCACCAAACTCGCCCCAGTTGCGTTTCATCATCGCGAACGACTGCCTGAACAACTGTTAACCTGCGGGAACTGGAGGGGAATTCTGATTGTGGAGTGAGAAACTCTGCTCAAAACAGATCCAGATCCAACAAGAAGGCCTACCAAACTCGCCCCAGTTGTGTTTCCTCATCGCGAACGACTGCCTAAACAACT